GCCAACAATTTTTCAATTTGTTTCCAATTCATTACAATTTCATGTAACTGAACCTCATTATGTTAACTTTTCTACCATTTCAAAATGAAAATCTGAACAATTGCAAATGGACTGTTACACTTCAATCTTCTGTTACACCACAATTACCTTTCAGATGCGCACATTGCATCTGAGTAGGGAAACAGAAACTATTTAACATGCATACTTTTCTCTTTTTGTGCAAGGTTTCTAACAGTCACTGACAGTGAGCAAAGATGGATTTACCCACTTCCAGCATATAGATAGATAAAGCAACATTGATTTCTACATTTCATTATTTTATTTTTTTAGATTTTGTAAGCATGTATTTGTTAAATATAAGTGGTAAACATGACATTAACCCCTTTTGTGACCACGAACATACAAGGTTTGTCGAAGCCATTTTGGCACATTGTGACTGCCAACGTACAGGGTATGTCGAAACCACTTTGGCATTTCATGGTCCACCAACGTGTTCTGTATGTCAGCAGTTTAAAGTACCATTAAAAATGGGTCTAACAAATTGCAGCAAGATCCTGCTATTACTGTTCTCCACAAATTACTATGAGAAATTGTATCTATAAGAAACATCACATAGATAATAAAGATATTGGACGGTGATTCCAATGACAGTTTGCTTCACTTGTCCATAGTGACACTCTATAGCCGTGGCGTGCTGATGAGGACAAAGGCTGCAAAGACTGTTTTTAAAGTCCTTTCATTTTGTACCTATGCTGCCAGATGTGTGTCCACATATGGTGGTAATTACAGCACAGATCATAGTCCCTCTGCAAAACCAATTGAATACCCGAAGCTGGGTTTCAATTACCCGCTTGGTACCTCTGTCTCGAAATGGAACGAAGAAATTCTATATTATAAACTATATTCTGTCATTAAGTTTCACTAAATGTTTAGATGACTTCCCCATAGTGCAGCTGCAAATATACAGATGTGCTCACAAGCACAGTAGCTTTGTTTGGATAGGATGAATAGGAAAATCTCACCGGGAAACAATGTGTTTTTTTGGAAGAAAGCCAGGTATCCCAAATTATATTAAACTGCTATAATACATATTTACAAAACTGATGGTAAGTGCTGTTCTCATAATATATAATATATACAGTTTGGCATACTGCTACGAATGCAGATGGAACACCTCATATACATCTTTAATATCATTTAGATACCAGAGAGATATTTGGTCTTCGTAACAGCAATTCTGTTCTATACAAGGCAACGCCCATGGTTCAATCTTTTTTAAACAAGTGGAATTTTATAAGAACTTGCATTGTATCAGTCTACTTCCAATGCTCACTGGCGCCAACAGAAATCTTAGGGCATTCTAAAAAAAAAATTTAATTAGCTACCTTCCCCCAGATGCGCATATTTTGACCACATTTGCCTAAATTATGGTTGCAGGAGGATGGTATTCCTGGTGTCTAGGAGAGCGAGCTTGATGAGACCCCTTGGTCTTGGTCTTCCATGTAGCAGTCCTCTTAACCCCTTAAGGACACATGACATGTGTGACATGTCATGATTCCCTTTTATTCCAGAAGTTTGGTCCTTAAGGGGTTAATGCAGTCCTATAAGGGAAGCTATTTCTATGTATCTGTCCAGAATGCATAGCATGGCAATGCTCCAAGTAGGCAAAGCCCTCTCCCCTACCAACGCCAGTATATATTCAGCAGTGAGTTATAAAACTTGGAGTTTCAAATTGGGTTGTTGGACAAAACACATTGGCATCAGACTGCTAAACAGTTCCTTTTAGCCTTTTATGCCTATGATTAAGGATTCTGAGAAGTCCAAATCCATTCGGGTATGTTCTTGCAGTCTCCCTATTTATTAATGGTAATCTGCTAAAGCCTAAACTGTTCTGGTACACACATTTTCTCATTGAATCTCATTTTCTTCAGGCTTTCTGGTTTTCTCCATTTGCATATGTTTACTATTATACATGTTGAGGGTTCCTCACGGCATCTCTCTATGTCAGCAGTTCTTTTAAAATAGGTGGGTGGTTCTCCCTTCAATCACCACATATTACCAAGCCACACACTTACTCCGACTAACGGACAGGCACGTCCCAACCTCCCACAAACTATGGGTAGCAATGGAGCTCCAACAGGGTGGAGGGGCGCTCCACCACCGGATCTGGCTTGGAGGCACCACATACACATCACTACACACTGGAAACCCCCTGATAGATGCCACCCTATGAGTGTGGTGCTCCCTGCGATACTCACACCAGCTGACAACAGTACCCAACCCACTGACCCTGCTTACAAACAATCCCAAACTTGTGGAGAGCCTCAAGCCAAAAGACCTACAGGCCTTCAGACCAATGGTGCGACACTGACAGACTTAAAACACTAGCAAAGCCGCTGCCCGAGGGTAACCCGACAATGATACAACAATACCGGTACCACCAGATCCACCATTACTATACATCTATGAAGGGAAGACCTCAGTTACACAGGGTCCTCACCCAATTAAAAAGACAGTGCACCGCGTAAACACATCTCACTAGGAGGATCTCTATGCTATACATTATGCTCCTCCAAGAAGCAGACTTGCAGGCCCCCAGATTTACATTGAGATGAAAGAGGGAGACTGGCAAGATACTCACGGACTGGAAATGGGAAAAAATATTTGTCCTGACCCACGAATGTTCCATAAGCTCCAAGTATCAAAAGATGAGCTATAAAGGTTTGTCCAACTGGATGTTCTCCACCGTATGCACCCATCAAAGCCTGAGGAATGCTGGCGCTGCGGGCAGGGCCGTCTTTAATTCTGATTGGACCCTGGGCAAGCATTAACTTGGGCCCCCTGACTACATATAGATACACACAAATACAAAACCTGACACCCATGCAGATACACACTGACCGCATATAGATACACACAAGAACATACAGATACACACAGACTACATATAGAACACTGACACACAGACACAAACACAGATACACAACCTGACAAACATGCAGATACAAAGGTACACACACTGACTACATATAGATACATTGACACACATACAGATACACAGATACACAACCTGACACACATGCAGATATACATATACAAACACGGACACATACAGATACACACTGACTATATATAGATACACACACAAACAAACACAAACGGACAACATACAAATACAAAGGCACATTCTGACAGACGTACTGACACAGAGACACACACAGACAGCCATACTGAAACACACATATACACAGACATACAGAACCACATGGACACTGATAGACTCACACATAGACATACTGACACACTGACAGACATACAGACATTATGGCACACATACACACAGACAGACATACTGAAACACACATACACACAGACACTGACAGACGTACACACATACAGACATTTTGACACTCACAGACAGCCATACTGAAACACACATACATACTGAACCACACTGACCGACTCACACAAACACAGACATACTGACACACTGACAGACATACTGGCACATATACACACAGACGGACATACTGAAACACACATACACACAGACACTGACAGACATATTGACAAACACAGACATACAGAACCACACATACACTGACAGACTCACACACACAGACATACTGACACACTGACAGACATACTGACACACTGACAGACAGACATACATACATACTCACACACACACACACACTCAGACACTCATGCAAAATTTGATAACCACCCTCCAGTTTCTTACCTTTTCCTGGAGGGTGGCTTCCCTGGGGTCCAGTGGGCTGGCTGGGGTGGCTGGGAGTTAAGCTCTCCCGGCCTGGCCCCCTCCGGAACAGCTCCTTCCTCCCGCGCGGCTCTTGTTTCTGTCACTTCCTCCCAGTGCTGCCAAAAAGCAAGGGCCCGGTCGCGCTGTTAAAGAGCCACAGCGCCCGACCGGGCCCCTGCTGTCATAGGCCCACCAGGTGGCCCTAAGTGCATGGGACACCCGATGGGCCCCCATAGTTTGCGGGCAGAGGGCAAAAGGAGCAGCTGTCTTGGGCCCCCCAGCTGGGACAGGGCCCGGGGCAGCTGCCCCGTTTGCCCTGCGTTAAAGACGGCCCTGGCTGCGGGTCTCGTAGGGCACAATTCTGCACATCTGATGGTCCTGCCCCAACATCGAGCCATACTGGACCATGATGCTTACCAAGATCAGGGAAATCACCGAATCTGACATCCCACTACAGCCACTCCCCGTGCTTCTACACCACACCACTGTCCTACTGAAGTCCTACAAAAAAATCCCTGACCAAACACCTACTTACAGCAGCTAAATCCCTAACCACCTCCTTGTGGAAACAACCTGAGATGCCTACCCTCCAGCAGTGGATAGCTAGGGTGGAGGAGATATCCAAAATGGAATCTCTTACTGCAGTCTTTAGGGGCACTTCGGACAAACACCTCGCCACCTGAATCCCCTGGCTGGAGTACATCACCCAAATGGATGATGGGGCCCAGATCCCGGGTACAGGTTAAGTATAGACTCAGCCCTACATGGCTTACACTTTCTCCCCCTTCACAACCCCCCCCACAGCCCCCCACTTTTTTTTTCTCTTTTCTTTTCTCCTGCATTCCCCCTCCTCTTCCCCCCTCATCCCACTACCACTCCCGTCCCATTGTTTAATATGGGAGTAATAGGATCCTGTTGCTATACACTCTGGATTAAGAAGAGCAGCAAACCCTGCAACCATAGCGGCACTCCCAGGTTGAGCACCATTCACGAGTTAGTACTACAGAATCCATCCCACACAGCGGTGTCAACCTACTGATGTATAATCCCGAATAAATTGTGAACCTAACTACACAAAGCTGTTTCATACCCGTTGAGAACAATCCTGGTGCTATTCCTGTTGTATGCCTTGTGCCTCTGAAAACATAAAACATAAAACGTATAATGAAAAGCATAGCTTGGCAAATAAAACAGAGACATGAGAGTGCACTAGGGCAACCAAGATAGGAAGACTATATTAAGCCATAATAACCATGTACAACACAATGTCCACTGTATTCAGGGCGAAGTCCCAGGAGGGATCCTGTTGTGGAGTCTCCCGGGTGCGTCGACTGCGCTCATGGTAATGCCCCCTCAGGGTTCCTAGCCCAGAAAGGGAGGAAGAGTCAACTGTGCCAACAGGGAGTGGAATGTCAGCTACTGGGGTGACTTGCACAGTCCTTGTCTGTATCCGTAGCCACTTCTCACAGATGTGGTCAAATGTGGAATTAAAGGCTTCAATCCACCTGCGCAGGGGATCTGTTGCAGACTCCTGGGTGCCCTCAGGATCCGCCATCATCTTGATGTTAGGCACATGGCATCGTGGATCAGTTCTGGCTTTCCAGGTGAGTATAGTGCAATGTAGAGGTGGGGACCAGGATAACCCCCACCGGTCCAGGGGAGAAAAGGACCCGCCAGTCACTCAGGCAAGTATGCTCCGCCAAGGAGGTCGGCCGCCCCTTTCCGCCAAAGCAGCGCTAGGCCTCAGTCAGGTGCCCTCCAGTTGCTAGAGACGATGATGCCACTTTTGGAGGTGAGTAGGTAGCGGATTATGCACTAATTGTGAGCTTTATGGCATAATAAAAGAGGAGCTAGTATGCCATATGTCTGCCCGGTATGGCGGCTAAGCCCTGCCACGGCACCTACATTTTTATGACTTCATTTTATGAGCATTGATTAACTGTTTTAAAATATTATACTCAAGTAATAAGTTATAGCTTTATATTTTAATATTGAATTTATTTTATATTACAAACTCAATATGATATTTCAAAATTCCTGTTTCCTTTCTTTGAGTCAGCATTTTTGGCCAACTGAATGCAAGCACACACATAGGGTGACTAATGACGTCAGACCTAATCCAAATTTCTGTAGAATGGTATTGGGAGTACATATGCTCCTGCTGTACATGCACACAGACCTGGTCCTCCTCATTGACTGCAATCATTCACTGAACACATTAGATCAGGAGGGGGCAGTGTTTCCCTAACTAGGCACCATCAACTGTACTGCTTCATTTAGTTAATGCAAAAGAAGAATTCTTAACTGCATGTTTCTAAAAGGGATGATTCCAGGTTAGCATATATAACACAATAAATACATCAACTCTATGTTTAGTGATAAGCAATAACGGCTGGTAATCAGTGTAAATAAGAAATACCAAAACAAAGTGGAGCAACACAGTAAAAGCTGCAGGTAGATTGCTGTGGTCTGATTTGAATTAGTGAACCATTAGTGAGTGTGAACCAGACAGAGATGTCCAGGAGTATTACTGTTGATCATATGCATCCCTTTATGGCCACAGTCAACATAATGTCTGCTTCCAGCAAGAAAACACACAATCAGGGTTAATCACTAAAGTGAGAATTCAAGGTGAATTTCAAATTTAAAAGGACACTATAGTCACCAGAACAACTACAGCTTATTGTATTTGTTCTGGTGAGTATAATCATTCCCTGCAGGCCTTTTGCTGTAAACACTGTCTTTTCAGAGAAAATGCAGTGTTTACTTTACAGCCTAGTGATAACTTCACTGGCCACTCCTTAGATGGCTAATAAAGGTGCTTCCTGGCCCAGTGATGCACAGTGAGCAGCACTGCCATTCAGTGTCTCCATCCTCTGCATGTAGACACTGAACTTTCCTCATAGAGATGCATTGATTAAATGCATCTCTATGAGGAGATGCTTATTGGCCAGGGCTGTGTGTAGCTTATGCTGGCTCTGCCCCTGATCTGCCTCTTTGGTAGTCTTAGCCAATCCTATGCTTTCCTACAGAAAATCATTGTGATTCACCCAGAGAATCACTTCTGATGATGTTGGCCAAGCAGGCCAATCAGGGACAGAGCCAGTAGCAACAGACTGAAATACAAATACATTTTTACTATATTTAGGGGGAAAAGAGGGAGGGTGAAGGGGGGTGAGATGGTGGTTTTAACACTAAATAGTCAGAAATACATGTTTGTGTTCCTGACCCTATAGTGTTAATTTAGGACCAGGGTAGCTAAACTCAAAGCAGAGCTAACTTAGTAAATAGCACTGCATATCATAAATCATATGCACTTTGAGTGTGGTACCACACAAGTAACCAAAATTTCCATTGACATCCACTGTCACCAGCTCTCCATCCAATAGAGCACTCTTGGGCATTACGTGGAATTGGGGATTCATTGATAATGTGCAACTAACAAATCTGTAGCTAAAGGATCTTAGCTGAAGTCATTTCGCTGAAGTCATTTCATGAAGAATCAGGACTCTTACATCAACATAGAGTCGCTGAGGAACTGTATTTGAAAAAGTTGTGCACAGAGAAAGTAATTTCTTTACATTTACAATTCGAAAAGATATTGCTCTTTTGCTGATCCCAAAACTTTTTTTTTTTCATTCCGAAGTCGAAATATATTGGACTGAAATGCTAAATATCTGTTTCTATCTATTTTATTTGTCCTCCCGGTATTTCTCTGTCTGGTTTGATATGTATGTATATATATATGTATGTATGTATGTATGTATGTGTATATATATATATATATATATGTATGTATGTATGTATGTATGTATGTATATATATGTATGTATATATATATTTGTTTTATTTTTATATGTATACATGACTCTTGCTGCGACTGCCTGGTAATATGTAAATTATTAATCACATTACCATGGTTATAGCATTTTTAAAAATTCCATTACTATTCAGCTATATCGCTGTGCCCCGTAGCCTTTGCTTGTTGTTACACATGCAAAGCCTTTGTAATAGAAAAATAGAAAGGGATTGGAGTGGGGGTTCTACTTTCATTTATTGCAAGCATCTTTGATTTGGAGACCATCAGGCACGTGTCCTTGGCCCCCCAGACAGCAGATTGGAGCTGTATGCAACACTCAGCAGTGACAAGGTTCCATAGATGAGGAGACAGCTGCAGTATGTAGTAAAAAACTGAAGCAGTTATTCCAGTGATCTCACTAGTAACGGATTATAGTGCATACACACTGTAAATACATATCTGGAAAAAGAGACAGTGTTGTATATAATTACTCTAGTAATTTATATATTATGCAATTCATTGCAACATAACAGCTAGCGAGGATTTCTGCTGGGCTAGGTGTCCTATTTCAAAATGTCACATGTGCATTTACACAAAAAACTCTTTTTCCTTTTTCAGCATTTTCTGATATTTATATCAAGCCAAAACCAACATCTGGGCTCGGAATGTCTCATTAATCATGAGACCATGGATCACAAAAATTGGAAAATCTCGGCAATACGACAAAGAATTTGACAAGGTTCACAAACAAAGGAATTGATAGTGAATGAACGTATGTCTTCTTTGGAATCTGACATCAAAGAAACTGACAGCTGAAACGAAATCTAGGAGTATTCTATGACATTACTAAGAAAGTGAAGGCAGATATATTACTAATCAGTGTGAACATTTCTTGTGCAGTGGCATATACATGTTAATTAACTCTTTTCTACTGAGGCAGGCATAACATTATCTGAAACAAATGATGAATAGCTAGCATCAGGACTGAATTTACATGTCAAGAACCTGTCCCCTGCTCCCCAAACCCATCAAAAAGCAGATGCATAGGAATAATGAATTTATTAAATGGACATTGCAGGCCTGAAACATCAAAAATCATATTCATATTTGTCAACTACATATGAATAAATGTGTGTACATAGTTTTACAGTGTAAGAAATACAAATCTGTATTCCTGGAATCATAATTCCCTCTCCCCATTCCCTCCCTCATGCCCCCACCACCGCATTGAAAGGGTTAATAAACCCTTACTGTACTCACCCGATTCCAGCGCCAATCTCCCTCAGCACTGGGTCAGTGCTCCACCTTCTCCAATATCACTTGACGGAACAGGGTACTAATGCGCATTTGCAGCGAGCGCTGCAAGTGCATTAGGCCCTCCACATAAGAAAGCACTGACTGCAAAGTGCGAGCACGTCCAGCGTCTGTTAGGAGATTTAGCAAGCAGGAAGTCTTAGTCCTAGTCTTAGTCCAGGAAGTTTTAGTCCTGCAATGTAATTATGGCAGTTTTTAAAAAAACTGCAATAATTAACATTGCAGGGTTAGGGGGACACGGTCACTGCACTCACACCACTTTAATGAGCTGAAGTGGTCTGGGTGCCTATAGTGTATACAGCTGTGTAAATGTATGCACTGTTAAAGATAATATTAGAAGTGATAATGCTACAAAGGGGATTAATGTTAGACAGGGGGTTAATGTTAAAGTTATATTACATAGGGTGTCTATTGTTAGGAACATTAATAGCTTGACAGGGTCAAAGTTGTAGTATAAGGGCTGCTTAGAATTATTGACGTTGGGGCTAGAGTTGGGTTAAATTTAGTATTGAGTACTTGAGGTGTTTAGCAGAGCCAGACTGGGAGAAAAATTCGGCCCGGGCATTTTTTTAACACAGCGGCCCACTAAAAAGGGGGCGGGGCAGAGGAGGTGTGTTTTGTCATCACCAATGACAAACACGCCCCCTCTCAAAGTGAGCATGTTGGTTCAATGCTCTTCCAGGGCAGACCATGCGCAGAGCTCTGCTGAAGAGCTCCAGCATGAGAAAAAAGCCCTGTATTTGTTCTGCACAGTGCAAGCAAATTTAATAACATGCTTGCACTGTGTTTCCTTGCAACTTGTCTCTGGTGTCTCTATAAATGGATACCAGAAGACAAAAGGCCAGGAAAGAGTATTGTGCATGTGTTTGGAGCCTGCTTGTGGTATTGCGTGTGTGTAGAGTGAGCTGGTCGTGGTGTGGTATTGTGTAATAAGGTCAGTTTTAGTCGTGTTGTGTTTGTGGTGTAATGTGATGCATATGTGGCTCAGAGACCCCCTCCCGCCAGGCTCTGGAAAGGGGTTAAAAGTTACCTTTTTCCAGCGCTGGGCGGGGAGCTCTCCTCCTCCGATCCGCCCCGTCGGCTGAATGTGCGCGCGCATTCAGCCGGTCGCATAGGAAAGCATTTATAATGCTTTCCTATGGACGCTTGCGTGCTCTCACTGTGATTTTCACAGTGAAAAGCACGCAAGCACCTCTAGCGGCTGTCAATGAGACAGCTGCTAGAGGTTTTGGGGGAAGGCTTAACCCATTGATAAACATAGCAGTTTCTCTGAAACTGCTATGTTTATAAAACAATGGGTTAACCCTAGAAGGACCTGGCACCAAGACAACTTCATTAAGCTGAAGTGGTCTGGGTGGCTAGAGTGGTCCTTTAAGAGTGTAGTGTGTATATTATATATATTTGGAAGTATTGTGTATGTGTGTGGTGCAGTGTGTTGGGGGGGTTCTGTGTGTATGTGAGGGGTGCAGTGTGTGTGTGTGTGTGTGTGTGAGGGTGCGGTGTGTGTGTCGTGTGTGTGAGGGGTGCGGTGTGTGTGAGAGTGCCGTGTGTGAGTGATGGGTGTGAGAGTGCTGTGTGTGTGTGATGGGTGTGAGAGTGCGTGTGAGTGTGATGGGTGTGAGAGTGCTGTGTGTGATGGGTGTGAGAGTGCTGTGTGTGTGTGAGAGTGCTCTGTGGAGTGCTGTGGTGTGATGGGTGTGAGTGCTGTGTGAGAGTGCGTGTGTGATGGGTGTGAGAGTGCCGTGTGTGATGGGTGAAGGGGTGCACGTGTGTGATGGGTGTGAGGGGTGCCGTGTGAGGAAGTGCTTTGTGTGATGGGTGTGAGAGTGCTGTGTGTGATGGGTGTGAGGTGCTGTGTGTGATGGTGTGAGAGTGCTGTGTGTGATGGGTGTGATAGTGCTGTGTGAGAGAGTGCTCTGTAATGGGTGTGAGTGCTGTGAGAGTGCTGTATTATGTAATGGGTGTGAGAGGGGTGCTGTGGCGAGAGTGCTGTGTGTGAGAGTGCTGTGTGTGTAATGGGTGTGAGAGTGCTGCTGTGTGTGATGGGTGTGTGAGAGAGTGCTGTGTGTAATGTGTGTGAGAGTGCTGTGTGTGATGGGTGAGAGTGCTGTGTGTGATGGGTGAGAGTGCTGTGTGTGAGAGTGCTGTGTGTAATGTGTGTGAGAGTGCTGTGTGTGATGGGTGAGAGTGCTGTGTGTGATGGGTGAGAGTGCTGTGTGAGAGAGTGCTGTGTGAGAGAGTGCTGTGTGTGATGTGGGAGAGAGTGCTGTGTGTGATGTGGGAGAGAGTGCTGTGTGTGATGGGTGTGAGAGTGCTGTATAAATGTTATTGAGTGTGTGTAGGGGGGGGTAAATAAAAAAAACAAAAAAAAAACAGTCATTATTCCCCCCCCCTCCCTTCTTACCTTTAGCCTGGGAGGGGGGGGGGTCCGGCACGCTGGGAGGCAGGGTGGCGGTGTTCCCTGGTGGTCCTCGTGGGTGAGTGAACTCTAGCCCGCATAGCCTGTGAGGCTAGAGTTCACTCTCGCGAGATCCGGTCGTTGCCATGGCAACGTGCCGGATCTCGCGAGAGGAACCCGGCGGAGCTGCAAGTTAGAGCTCCGCCGGGTCCTCCTCTCCAGGCTGGCTGGCTCCCTCCCTCCCCGCCGGCGGCCGCATGTGGGCCGGTCAGGGAGATCCTTGATCTCCCCACCGGCCCGTCGTGGCAAACAGCGGGGCCGGCGCTAGGAGAGTGCCGGCCCTGCATAGACCGGCAGGGGAGATCCTGGGACCTCCCTGCCGGCCTCGGCCCCACGGCCACCGCAGCCCACCGGGCATTTGCCCGGTGTGCCCGATGGCCAGTCCGGGCCTGGTGTTTAGTCTTTAAAAGGAGTTAAACACAGGAGTACGATAAAGCGTTTATTTTCAGGTTTAGGCTTTCAGTGCTGCAGTTTGAAGGTCTATTTGAAAAGTACTCACCCTCCCATGTCTTCTGTAGCCCAGTCAGATTGCAGTAGGTGTTATACAGTGCACATTACTCAGAGATTTCCCTGCTCCCCCTGCAATGTATTTCCTGTGTGAGAAGCAGTTAGTGACAGATGGGAAGTGATCCCTTCCACTTTTTGTCTAGTCTCACACACAGACACTGGAAGAGCTGGGTCAGCACTGAGTTTTACACCATTTTTAAGTGTTCCTGCAGCTCTGCTATTAATGCTGACTGGACTACAGAGGACACTTGCCAAGGTGACTGGTACTTTCGTCTCCCATCAACCTATTTAAAGGGACACTTTAATCACCACAAGCAGTTTTGTTGTATAGATCATATCCCTGCAATCACTTTGTTTATGCAGCACAAGCCACACCTCCTTGCATGTGGCTTACACAGCTTTCCTAAGCACTTCCTGTAAAGCGAGATCTAATGTTTAAACTTTATTGTACATAATGTTTAATTTAGAATTTCTTATTTCCTCTTCTATTAGTTGCTTGCTACACCTTGTAGGAGCCTCCTGTGTGTGATAAATGTTCAATTTACAGATCAGTAGATAAAAAAAAAAAGTAAGTTAAAATCTGATTGAAAATTAACCCATCTTTTTCATGCAGGCTTTGTCAGTCACAGCCAGATGAGGTTTGGTTAGGGCTACATAAACTTAAACAAAAGTTATTTAACTCCTAAATGGCAGAGAATTGGGCAGTAAGACTGCAGGGGTATGATCTGTACACCAAAACTGCTTTATTAAGCTAAAGTTGTTTTGATGCTTATAGTGTCCCTTTAAAGAAATATACTCCGCACAAAAAAAAATTAGATATATTGCCAAACAACGTATACATGCAATTTGTTTTGTATGTATTCTTTGAGCGTAGAGCACATCTGAGCTTGCAGTTTACTCCTTTTCCTAAGTTAACTTGTAGCTATCACTGCTAGTACAGTGTCCCTTACTATTGGCTCATCAGATGACATAACCACATGGAAAATTAGGCAACTGCCTAGGGTGCCCATGCCCAGGGGGTGCAGTCCCTGTGTGACTGACAGAAGGAGAGCACACTGCACAGCGCTCCCACTCCTGGCAGTCACTGCATGTAGTGTGGTCGAGCCACCTGTGGTAAAGGATCTTCTGTATCCTAGTCTAACAGGTAGCTACTCGCTGAGAGCAATGCTACATGAAGTTTTAACAGGTGGGAGGAAGAGGGACAGGAGGGGACACAGACAGACAAAGAGATACACAGAGAGATGGAGTGGGACAAAGTGACATACAGATAGGTTAGGGAGACAAATGGGGGATGACAAAAATCACACAGAATTGCTGCGGGTAGAAAGAGACACAAAGAGGGTAAGGGTACAGTGACACACGCAGAGGGGCTGGGGTAGAGCATGGTGACACACACAGAGGGGCTTGGGATGGGGGAAAAAAGACATACAAAGGGGCTCGGGAAGAGACACACAAAGATGCTGTGTGGGAGAAAGAGACACACAAATGGGCTGGGGGAAAAAGATACCCACAAAGGGGCTGGGGGAAGACCCACTCATAGGGGCTGGGAAAGGGGAAAAAGAGACACACAAAGGTATTGGTTAAAAAAGAGACATAGATAGGGGCTGGGGGAGAAAGAGACACCCAAGGTTGGTCATTTTTGTTTTGTGGGAGGGTGCAATAAGCTGTTCTTGTCTAGGGCTCAAAATAGTCTAGCACCGGCCCTGCATATCCATCACATTCAGTGGAATATTTATCAAAGTGTCAGATACAATTTACATCTAATATTTAGCAATTTATTGCACTGTTTATACAATCTGCTGGAGATTTTCT